TGTCATCCGTAGAGCTTTTTTTTTCATTGCGGCTTCTGTCAACGAGCGTCACGCGACAGAAGCTACTCAGTTTGCAAATCGGATCAAAAATCACTTCTGGTAGCTCTAGTTCCTGAAATGCAAAAATGCGTTCCATTTTAATGAGCTGCCTTCGAGACCTTAATTCTGCTGCAAGATTTGTAACGTCCTTACCTTGTTGCCAGCAGATTCCCTTAGGTCGTGTGCGGCTGCGTTGTCCGCTGAAGGGCAGATGAGCGTTGGACGAGAAAGTGCTTCTTTTAAACACCCAATGGTCAAACATTAGAGGACACTTATGTACGATGTAAAATAATGTGTACGGGGCTAGTTTAATTTAAACAAAAGGGTGAAGGCCACGAGATTCTTCTACTCCGTCCTCTCCTCGGTGGAATAGGGCAATTAGAAAAAGTCGGGTTAAAAGAATAGTCGCATGGCAAACATGCTTGCAAGCCAGTGTTGCTTACTGAAAGCGGCCATTGAAAATGGATAAGAATCTACCACAAAACATTTGGAAACAAGTTCCCAATGACCAGAGGAAAATGTGAGCGTCTCGGTGCTGCCACCGCTGCTGTGGATAACAAAACCATTGCAGGCAAGATGAACTTGTTGGCTAACATTGTGGTTGTGGCAATTGTGCACCATGTCCGGTCACCAGCTGTCCGACTTACTAGGGTGAAGCAACTCTTGAGTGTGTGGATCTGAAGTTGATTTATCTATTCCATCATAACTGCCGACGTCTTGTTTACCAACGTTGGGGATGTACACATCTCTACTTGCGTATATAGCCGTGGACCTGTTGGGTAGTGCAATCCATCTAAAAATGACGGCTAATTGATTGACCATGAGCAACTGTCAACCTGAGCGTGGAGTTAAATGTCAGGTGGGTTGCACACTGTGACATTCGGCCTGCCCATCAACAGTGGCTGCATATTCTTCGCAGGAGGAGAAAGTGACAGCGTGCTTTGTAGTAGCCTCCGGGGACAGGAGTACACCTTGCCAACTTGATATCAGTGGTACGTTGTAGATGTGGCCGTTGCACAAATTCGCCTTTTCCATCTGAGGAAGTGGTTTACCATTATCGCCCTTCCAGCTGATTATTTCAACCTTTTTCTCTAAGTAGGAAAAGTGATTTCATATGCTTTGGATGCAGTAAAGCAGTAAGAAATGATAACATTTCCAGTTGTGGGTATTCCTAACATCCTGCAGTAATGCCCTTGATGCCAAGATCCAATAAGCACATTTCTTGTCCCAAGTTTGAATTGATATTTCCCATAACACTGTGAATAAAAGTAAGAACAGCTGCTATTGTTCCTTTTCCTTCGAGCTTGACTGTAGAAGGATAATCTGTAAGAGGCCTACCTAGTGGCATTATTTATGGGGACAGAGCTAAAGGAATTTTTAGAACGCTTGCAGGTGTCAATCGGTAGCCTCCTGCGGACAGAAAATCTTACAAACGATAAAATGAATGAGCAGAATTTATCTAAAAGCGCTGCAGTGTCCGAAAACATTAGCATAATTTACCTGGACTGCTTTGAGAAGGAGGCAGCCTTTTTAAATCCGCAGTCGATAAGACGTGCTGGAAGGAGATTGCGTGTACAATTTGGTCGGCCAAGTCGGGTGATGCAGCGGGCCATGCAGTGGAGGAACCCTCTACTGTCACTAAGGCCTTCAAAGATGACCGTGGTGAGTGATACACACTCATTTATGCGGTTTTTGTTTTGGGGTTGCTCAAGCAATAAGTCAGATGTCTTGCATGTATTCGACGTTATTCTAAAACGTTAAGCGAGTCTTCTCCTTGTCACCGTATCCTTCAGACGCACGTAGTCATGTCAACAGGTGCACCGCCTTCTCATACAATCGACACACCAGGAGACCGACTGGGAATACCGATGATTGTGCTCCTGTGATATTGTCAAAATTCACTCTGGCATTGACTCCGTAGGCATAATCGACCACGGCTTTCATCATGCTGAATAATTTTGCGACTATCCAACCAATGAAAAACCTTCCTCATGCGAAATCGTTTACATTCAATGCGGTTCTTTCACCACCGCAGAATTTGTCCCTAATAAGGGGAAATCGGGTGCGTACGACATGGCGATGGGTGGGATTTTCGTGGCCTTCTTTCGCCTAAAAGCAATAGTTCGAAGGTCGAATATCTCACTCACGACCACTACGATATCCACGGATTTTGTTCATTGATGCAGATGATTGACACAGACGACAGGAATGGAAGGTGCTTCGACATTGGTAGATGTTCTTTCTCCCAAAAATTACGTTTTGTTTTAGTGGGATTGAATAGGATACACATTCTTGTTGGTGTGCATAAAATGTGTGAATCTTAACTACGTGGATGCATCTGGCATCTACTGCCTATTATGCGACAACTTCACCTGGCCGTACTTCCTGTTCCAAGGACCTGAAATTATGGTTGGAGGAGAAAGAACAACTCACTATTTATATTTTAATCCCACATTTTTAACGCACTATTTATCCAAATATTTACAATGCATAGGTTTCGTGTTTGTTCCTCTTACTCTCTTCGTCCTTTTCCCTCTCCCATCTGCTTTTTCTTTGTGCTCCTGCTATGCTTAATTCTACCCACTTCTGTTCCGTCTGGCAGACAAATTTAAAACCACGCATGTAATTGTGTAGGTTAAAAGAACGTGCGACTTAATAAATGCGAGAGGTTGCATCCCCACGCAACACCATGTTTCATGTCATCAGCCTTCCGATTAACCCAATTCAAGACGAAGACTGACGACGACAATTCTGTTTCATCCAAGTTGAAGATATACAAAGGATATTCGGCCATATTGACGCTCAAGAGGCATCATTTAGGCTTTCGAGAAGTGCTTAAGCAAAACAGAGCCTTATCTTGTAGCAATTTTTGCCATCAGGGAATTTAGACGATAGAAAACTTTTGTCTCTTGCCTTTTAAAAGCTTCTAATGCCTGTTGGACATATCTTTAGGAGCGACCTTGCCTATGTGCAATTTTACAAATACCCAAATTTATAACGTAGGATTCATTTTCGTGCGCTTTGGTAACGGCCATTTGGAGGAGAATTTGTGCATTTCGTTCTTATGAAAACATCAATCGAATTAACTGACTTCGAGAAGGTCTGTCTTGGGTCAGAGCACGGCCAGTATTGCCGTGAAGGGTTGCGAGACATGTGAGCATGTCATAGGGGGTAAGCAAAGCGGTAGATTCGTATGTCCTACTCACAGTAGCAGTGTTTCAAATGAAAAATATTCTTTCTGCTATCCTTGCTTGCGTCATTCGTCTTGGTACCATCTGTTCCAATAGTGACTCAACATTTAAAATTACGTAAAATCAGTAAAGCCAGGAAAAAATTGCATTGAAATGAGGCTAGCGCTTTGGCCTAAGGTGGATGGTGGGTGTGACAGCTGTGTTAACAGTACATTGAATACGTGGGTGCTAATGTACTAACCCGGGATGCTAAGGGACTATAGTAACTTTGCGAATATCATATAAACAATATTAGTGTCTTAGACTCTAGAAGTACTTTTAATGAATACATAGTGCTGATTCCACGATGGAAATTTTATCTTTTCTACCACAAGAAGGAAATTCACATGCGGTGACTTCTTACACTGCCTGCAATATTTACCTGCGATGACGAAGCACGGAGTGATTTCAAGCCCAGGTGAATTGGTTGTCAGGAGATGTGGAGGCATGCGCTTTACTGCACTTCTTCCAACGGAAGCTCTGGATTCTCACTCGCGAGCAACATTGCTTCCTGTGCAAAATGGATGTGCTGGGATATGTGGGGGTAGTAAGGAGCACGATTGCATTTCTGCCTCCGCCTATATTCTGGCATTCAAACACATTCCCATAAATTTCTCACTCTTGGCCCAATATTCAATTCGGTAAGTGCTTTGGAAGATTAAATTGGTCCATCACTACAAGTATACTGGCTGGAGGTAGAGGAATTAACACATTGATGATTTCGCGTGAGCCTATTTTCTCGGTTTAATTCAAGGCTGGTTGAAATGCGGTAGCCATTTTTAAGCGCTATTTTCTGTACTAGTTTCCACCAGCCCTGTAAATTTCGGAAACTAAACAATAATGACATCGTCCATAGAATTCATAGCCTCGCTACCTGTTTATTCATGAAGAGTTCGCTGAAAGGACTCGAGATTTCCCCTCCTTCTTTGTTTAAATCTATCCAAGTCTTCCATACACCATCACGCACTACATTTAAGTCAATCGGGGATCAGAGCTTTTCAGTATCAGTAAAGATGACACCTCGAAATACATTCAGCTGCCCAGCTCGTGTTTTTTTTATCCCTATTGCTCGCATTTTGTGTGCCTCTGAGTTATCGAACAGTACCTTACTGAAGAATGTCATCCATTTCAACGTGAGGCGAGGTATGCATTTCCTTCGCTTAGCACAGTTTGCGTTTAAGTAGATTAGCCTTAGACGTGGACTGTAGTGTGACTTTTATCGAAGAGTTCAGAAGAGGTATTTGTATGCCTGCACGATTAAGACTCCATGTGGGCTCTGGATGGCAGCAGTCGCTTGAGGTAGTACTAATCAGGAATAAGACACACT